AAGATCTGTATGACCACACAGAGAGATTTCCACAAACATAATGTATAATTAATAATAGACTAGAACAAGCAAACAAGAAAGTCCAAACATAGTGATTTTAATACCTACTCAGGAAATAGCCTGCTTGGAAATAAAAATGAGGACTGTGTTAGTTACATTCAAACCACTTTCATTGACATGATACAAAATGCAGTCATTCCTTGAGTTCATACTTCTCGAAAGCACGGTGTGCTGTACCTGTGTTATCCCTGATGGCTAATTGCTCTACCCATCATTTAGAACCTTCTGTCACAAGGAACCTGCAGCCTCCCTGGGTAACCTGTTCAGGGCTTACTCCTAGAGACTGTTTCTCGTTGAGCAATTGTAATTTTTATAGGTTTTGTCATTTAGACGTCTAACATCTTCCCATCCAGACCGACTACAACTTTCCATCATTCCAACAATTAATCTTCTTTGATTTCAACTCTGACTGAGACACCCGAGGAAGTGAAGAGAGGAGAGAAGACAGTGACTCAGTTAAGGCAGGAAAATAGGGAAGGAACTGCCTCTGAAGAATGAAAGGCAGCATGAACCCAGACAGCTACCACATTACATAGAGAAAACAATAACACTGGAGAAAGAGTAGCAGGAGTGAGTATCTTTTCTATGGGAAAAACTTGAATGCTTTTATTCTGCAGATAGTAGTCATGGCATGTTATTTCTTCTCAGCATTAAAAGAGAACATGAATGTACTGAAAACTGCCCACAAGCCATTTGATGTATTGTTTGCTTTATCCTTTCTATTTTTTTCCACATTTATGCTGTTAAGTGTTCTAACCAGATTGTGTTTACATGTATCCCTAAGCAAGCCACAACTGTTGCTAGCTACATATCATCTTTATAGTCTCATTATCTCTGGTTGTCTGAATTCTGTCTGGCTCACAGAACTAACTTGTAGTATTTAACACTTGCCTGTAGTGAGTCTTCTGAAAACCTTCTAATCAAGGTGCCCTGCATACAGTATAAATATTTTGCTCCTTAATTATAGTAACTGGTATGTTACTTTTCACAATTAGCTACGTAGCATCAGCTTCACTGTAGAGCCTCAGGTGTTGTCTGAAAAGTAAGATTTTAACAATCTCAGCTATGCAGAAGCTGTCTCTTAAATGTTTTTGTGTTATAGACATACAGAAGAACCACAGACCAATGTCTAGATTGTTTTTTGCAGTGCAGAATGTCCTTTAAATACTTTTCTATTTGCAATAATAAAGATACTGAATAATGAAGATATGGAATTAGAAAACTATCTGTGCAGTGAAAAAAAGCTGTTCTTCTGTTTCTTCTAAAGAATGTTGCCTCCTTTACAATTTGTATTCTGTATTATATATATAACATTTTAATGTCTCTGACAAATAAAATACTGACGTGGATAAAAATATCATGGACACTCTTTCCAATGATTTTATTTTTAGAAGTGCTTATTTTTAAGGTATGTCTTTAATCTTATAAAAAAACAGTAGAAAAACAGCTTTGGAACCTGCACATTACCAGTTGTTTATGTCAGTGCTCTTAGCAATTCTAGTAATCTCAGCACGTTAGTGTTCAAAACTGTTCTTCAGTGTTTTGCACAAATATTCTTACTGTGTCCCTGCAGCTACAACAGATTGCATCATCAAGCTTTAGAAGTTTATCATTTTGCTTGAATAGTCAATGGAGCTGTTATCTAGACTATCTGCCAGAGATAAAAAAGTTGCTCATTTCAGAGTTATAAAATATTACTTGTTATTTCTGAGGGCATATATCCAGAACCAGTTCACAGCTTCTTTCATAAGGAAGACTTACTAAAAGAGATATCCTAGAGGCAGCAAAACTCCAGCAAACATGAATTTTTCATCCAGGATTCCTCTTATAAGAATTCCCTGAGTCCACACTTGGTAAATTTGAATCTGGGCTCTTTCAGCCTACAAAGTTAAGAATAAGGTTTCTCTAGTAATGGGCAGTATGACAGATGATCCTTCAAAAGTGATTGCTAGTCCTTTCAAGGAACACATTACAATATTTTGAAGTAGAGTGGGATTTGAAAAGAAACCAAACAGTAAGAACAGAAATTGGGTGAGGTGATCTATGTTAAGAAAGACAAACAGCTGCATGTTGGACTATCTGAACCTTTTGGCTGACCTTCAGGCTTGGCTGAGGGTGGCCTGTGGTCTGCATAATGTCCCAAGACCGGTGTGATATGCTTTCCAGAGACTGAAGAGTAATTCCTGGTCTTGTTACTACCTCAAGCCTAAAAAAATCAGGAGTTGCAGTTGAAGATTACTTCAGTTATTGAAGTTAACTTATTGAATGAAATGCAACAACTCTGTCAAATTTTCTTTTTTCTTTTATTTCCTAGTAAACATTCCTACTATCCCTACAAAAATATAAATACTATAATAATATGAAGTGAATGGAGTCTATGCTTCATCTAGTTCCCTATTTCCATCAGATCAGAATATCTGGCATAGTCTTGTGCATGCTAAATAATAAGACAATACCAAGTTTTTCTTGGTGCAATTATTAATTCTTTATCTGATAGAAGTAATTAAGCATCTCTATACAATCTTAAGATGTTTAACAATAAAAAAGGTCTTGTGACAATTTATCAAAGTCCCAGAAATGAGTAAGTCTTACTTTCTAAAAGTGGAATTCATACAGTACATTCCTAGAAATGCAACCAGAATTGAACAGGAAGATAAAACTGATGAAAAGGAAAGAGAATAAGCACAATGGATAAAGAAAAACAGAAATAGTAATAGGCCTAGAGCTAAAAGAGGTGATTATTGAAAAGAGGTGGTTATTGAAGAAAAACTGACAATGGCCAAGGAGAAATTTGTGACCAAAAAGAAGACATTAAATAAAAAGAAACAAAAGAGAAAATGAAAGAGTTCTACTAGTAGCTCATAGAGCCGTGGAAGCTATTATCTTGTAATAATTCATTTAGGAAAGTCACCACAGGATTTAGTGATCAATATATTGTAACATTAAAAAGAACTTTCTAGAGTTTTTCATGCTGGTAGTTAAAGAACCAAACAAGGAATTCTACGAATTTAACAGCATATGTATGTCTGTGGTATCTGGGTCATTGCCAACATCTCAGCTCTACTTCATTTCCTATATAGATGTTGCCTCTTACACTCACGTTCTAGAATTAGCCAGTCCAAAAAATGGACAAAGAAAGGCAACGATATAGGAAGAATCTTCAGCTTGTTCCCATAGAGCCTACTTTTGTCTTTTGGCTCCACAGAGCATCTTGTGAATTTACAATAATTCTTCCACAGTGAAGCCCTCAGGGAAGGGCATACACAGGGAAACCTCGAACTCCCCCACCATGCAGTCCTTCTGGAGTAAACTGAAAAGAGAAAGCCTTTCTAAAAGGAGACCTGAAAACAAATTTACTTTGGGGTATTAGTCTTCCTCTCAGAACCTCTCCCCAGCAACAATTGTTTCAGCAGTCCATGTGCCAGAATGTTATGGCTAGATAAAGTTTGTTCAAGAAGTATTGCTATCCTTGTATAAAATATTTATGTCATTCCCATAACATTCTCAATATGTAGCAAATATGTATTTTATGGTCTCCATTGTTTAAGGCCAAAGTTTGAACTAAAGTCATGACAACATTTATAATGGACACAATGAGGCAATTATCTTCATCAGGGCAGAACCTGGTAATTACCTTATGTGTGTTTTCCCCTTGTTTTCCTTCCCTTTGTAGCTATACAGATGGAAGAAACACAGCTCAGTGGGTTTTTTTGCCCTTCATCTCAAATTTTTCTATCTCAGGCAGAGCAGAATAAAGAAAACTGCCAGTTTAGGATTTTAGGCCTAAAATAGTACAGTTCCTGGTGGTTGGAAATATGATTGTCTTAAAATAATGGCTGTGGGTCACCTGAGCTACTTTTATAAGATGAAAATAATAAGAATAACAAGAATTTCAGATGTTTGTGCCATTCTATTCATGTTATGGTTACTGACACTGACTTTGCTGAGTTTGCTCCTTCAACATCTATGTACATTCTATCCATAAGCAGCTAAATAGTTGCTACCACAATAGCATTTCACACAAGCATGATGAATTAGGTTAAATGTGGTGATGCTGCTGCTGTAGATAGTTTAGGCTTGTGGTGGCTAGAACCACTTACTAGGATCCTTCCAAGCTTATTACAGCTGCAGCCCATAAGCAGTGAAAGCTGCATTATATATATATATAAATATATATATACATATGCATCAAACTCTCATTCAATGATTTGTATGTGCCTTACGTACAGTCAGAAAAAAAATAATTTCTTACATCAAGTTATATGCAAACCTACAGCTGAATTTTCCACAAATGAATAAATGATTCTGGTTTAAGCCAAGATGTGTTATGGGGGAGAGAAAAGAAATAATATCTTTTTTGCTGTTGAATTACTAGTATTAACAGTCAGCTTTTAATGGAGTGGTATTCACATGATATAAGAACATCCAGTATTGGTAATATTTTATATATTATATTCATATATTTGAGCTTCTTTCACACTGATAATATATTTGAATGTATCCAAACAGCAGAGGTAATATATGTTTTCTGAAATACTTGATAAAAGTAACATAACTTACAGAATAAGCTTTGAACAGTACTCCATATTCTAACTCACCTGTGTCTTCCTTATTAAATAAAACATTATTTTTGAGTAGCTAGGTCATTTCCATCTATAAAAAGCACAGAAATCACAGTGTTTAGTCTGATAATATTTCCCAATCCCTTCAATCTATTTAGCTTAACAGATGTACAGAGGCACACAGATGGAAACAAATCAGTCCTTTTCAAGCTTGGTGCTCAAGAAAATAATCAGGACAGCAAGCTAGCAACACTATTCCTTGTCTTCTTTGTAACTGAAACTGTTGCAATGGTGACATGGGAAGAAAAAGCATATTATTTTCTAGAAAACTATGGTTACGGTGTGTGTTACTTAATATCCAGCATATCTCATTCCCAGGAATCACTCCAGTTCAAGAGAAGAAGTGGCTCTCCTACTCAACTCTGAGCATCTTGCTGCTTCTGTTAAAATTAGTGGTTCATCCAAACCGCAGGTGCTGTTAGATCCTGAGCCTGGGTGCAGGTGCTGGCTGGGATAAGGTGAGCTGCAATTTTATATAGTTTTCTCTCTTTCCTTATTTCCTATGCTCCGGTTTACGCTGGAAGAAGCATCAATAGGAAGGTTAGTCAGTGTGTGCTGTGTATCAAGGTACCTGAACTGCAGAATCAATTGCAAACTACTTGAGCTTGGTAGTCTAATTGTGATCCAGGAAGAGATATTACTGAATATAAAATCAACAGAAGATAACCAATGATGTCTACTTTTGCAATTTCATCATACTTTTTTTAAGAAGTGATCATACTTTTCTAAGGAGTAATAGGATTCACTTGAATAGGAAAAAATATCCAGTGGTGCTCTTTGGTTTGATGAGCAGACACCTGTACTGCCAGATGTACAGATCCTCAGGCTTTTCTACCTTTCAAGTCGGTATTCTGCAATCCAGTCACCCCGACCAGCAGTGAGGTAGCAAATATTCAGCATGGCTCACTAAGGAATTTCAGCTGGGATTTGACCCTACAGGACTTTTCTTGAGGGAACTTGTCACAGCGTGTTTCTGCTGACAGAGGGCTTTAGAAAACAAAGTAATTTATATTACTTTTTGCAAGATAAAAAAGCCTTTAGGAAAAGTAATAAATGAATAAATCCTCTTTGTGAGCAAATCCCACCACTTAAAAGAAAGCAAACAAAAAATCAGCCTGTTTTTTTTGAACAGATGTCAATGGCATATTTTTGATAACATCTTTCTTTTGAAACTTCCACCTATTTGAAGGATTTTTTATATTTGTGGTTTCCCCTGATCCAAGGATTACTGATTTACCTAGGTTGTATTCCTACCAAGCACCCTTATCCCAACCTACCCAATGTTCAAACACTTTTCTCTATAGTTTTGAAGAGATACAGGAAGTTTGTGCCAGCATCATTATTGTACCTTTCTATCTCACTTTTTAAACTATTCCTTTATTGCTTTCTCTTATCTAATGCCTTGCTGTTTATCAGACCGTCAAAAAGACAAAGGCAAACACATTAGTCATTGAAAGTACCTCCCTCACCCTTCATCAGAATCTCTTTTGTTTCTTTTGCAGCTGTATATTGCACAGACACATTCATGAAATCACAAACAACTTTGGTTATTTTAAAGGCATTGGGAAAACAAGCACAAAATCCAGAAGTAGAAATATCCCCTTTAGCTGCTTTCTTACAGAAATTAAACTATATTCTCCAAGAAAATGTTTGAGATGTCTAAATTAAATAAATGATATTACATGGAATGAAAACAAGTACTTTTTAATGTAATTGTTCTTATGAAAATACTTACATGAAGTTTTACCCACTGTGACACTTACTGTGTAAGGAAACAAACACAGAGGTTGAAATTAGAATATATAAATAATTCTAATTTATAAACATGATGTAAAATTACAGATGTAGTGCGTAAGTTTAGGCTTATTCCAAAATAAAGACTCTTTCTTTTTTTTCTAGAGATGAGAAAGAAAGATGGGAGAGAATCAGAAGAATTATTTATTTGGGTTGAATCGAAGTGGCAGTGTTTCAGACTTGCTAGAAAAATGAACATTTCCGTATCTCCAAGCTTCTTTTACAGAAGAAAATTTCTCCATTTGGGCATGGGTCAAGGTTTTGAACCTTTGAAGTAAACACTTTGAAAAGCACTGAAATTCTTTTTTCAATGTCAGCTGAAAAGAAAGTCAGGATTAGTGCTGAGTGGAGTCTCTGAAATAAGTGAATCTCATACATACAATAAATAAACTGCTTGGATCCAGCTCTACTCAAAATGGATACAAATTTGCTTTTTGCCCTGAATGTATACAGTACCATGCACAATGACTCCAGCACAATTCAGGCTCAGATTTCTAATGGAATCTCAGACACATTTCCCATGTGTTACTTATTCCACAAGCTATCAAGAGTAAATAAATAGGCATCAGGTTATATTCTACCTAATAATTAATACCTAGATTTGAATTATCATGAGAAGTTGAGTCTTGAAAAAACAGAATTAAATTGAACATCCTTCCTGAAATCTGACAATTATGGAATACCTTACATTCCTTAACATATCATATTACAAATAAAATAACACAATTAACAGATGATACAGGTAATAGCAGTATCAAAACCAAAGCCCAGGAGCAATTTATTGAGGTCCAGTCACCAAATCTTTTGAAGAACTGCTGTTACTGTGTGGAAAACAATAAAAAGCAGAAGAAGAGTTTTCAGGGAAATGTTTTAAAGGAATCATTGCTCTTATGTGGTTATGTTGCAAGCAGACATACAGTTAACAAAACACTAATTTAAATAACTATTAAACCATAAAAGTTTCTGAACCATGAAAGTACTGCATAAACCCTGACTAGGCAGAACCCTAAGTCAAGCCTATTTTCTTTCATTCCGTATTTTCATCCTGGAGGGAAACAAAGTCAACCATCTCTCTCAGTTCTCCCCACAGAACCTCCAGGAGTCAAGTGTTTCAAGATCAACAGAGGTAGCAAGAAAGCAGAGGGGTTTAGAGTTGTTTTAAGCAACTTCAGAGGGCAATAGAAAATTCACATCTATCCTATCAAGCACTGTAGCAATCATTTAACAACTTCACTAGGAGTGAGCTAAGACTCACAAATCCATATAGCCTTAGTCTTAAGGTGAAGTTCCAATGGCTCTGGTATTGCAAGCAGCAGGTGCTTGTTCACCTCAGTTTATGAAGAAGGAAAGAGATCATTATTAATATCAGTGTAATTTCATGTTTATATATGGTACAACCAAATAGTTACAAAAAAAGTTACAAAAATGAGGAGAGAGAAAAATCCTAGAATACAGTGTTTAGGTAATATTATCCTCATAGAATCAGGCTACATGGTGGAATGTACCTATAAATATTAATAAAAATAAAGCAATAGATAGTATTAAACAAACATAGTATCATGTCAATAAATTGGAAAGAGTAGCCTGGAAACAACACACAAATTGTTTCCAAAATCAAGGAGAACTGATCTAAAGCTTTGAGGCAATGAAGTCGAAGAGAGGTTAATCTGATCATGCAGCAATCCTTATGACCTCTTTATGCTGATAGGATCATTCCTCTTAAGCGGAATTAAAACTTATGAAGGAATAAATATGCTAAATTATGCTGAGTTGAAAATGCTTATCAAATTATATATTGCTGAAAATAGCTTTGCTGTGAAGGCTGCCCATGAAACAGCACTTGCCATCACTGAATCACACTACCTGCTTCTGAAGGCAAGGTGCTGAATGACCTGCTTCTGCAGGAATCTGTTGATTTTCCCAGAATGTTGCCTTACTACTACAGTAGTCTTCTCTCTTCTCCAGCATTTAGCAGACCACTATGAGGCACCTAGGTTTTCCAATTGCTTCAAGTAAAAATAATACTAATGAAATATCAACCAGATTCCATGTATGACTGGTCTAATTTTGCCATACTGAAATGAGTAGGTTCTCTTGTCTTTTTTGTATCACAATTCATAAACAGACCTGGATGTTTCCAGAAAAATTTAAATTAAGATGCCTATCATTTAACATTTTGAAAGAAATCCAATGAATCCACAATTTCTGATACAGATTGTGAACACAAGGTTGCCTGTAGTGTGTATAAACATTGAACTAAAATTAAAAAACTCAATCAACTTTAATGCTTTGAATCATCTGGAAGTCAAAAAGCATTTTTACAGGAATGCTGAATGAACTGAATAAAAGGGAAAACAGTTTAAGCGAAAATGCTTACATGAATATTTTTCTTTAATTATGATGTATTGCTGTTAACTATGTTCACTTCAAGCTTTTAGCTCATTACCATTGTGTCTTCCTTTGGACACAACTAATCAAATTGCCTCAGCATAATTTAATTCTTTTGGGCGTAATAAGCTTAATGCTTTATATAGCAGTGCTAAACCCAACAACTGTACAGAGTCCTGTAAATGCGAAGAGTAATTCGTCATTGTATAAACCATCGTGCGCAATTACCCCAGTTTAGACAAAGCTATAAACTACTTCAAGCAAGATTTCAGAGGTGTCAGTACATGGGACAACACAAAACTATTTGTGCAAGACAACTTTCCAGCCACTAAAAATGTATTTACAAATTATGGATGCATTTCTTTTTATTTTGCAAGACTCCACAACATAGCACAGTATAGAGTGTTGCACTCTGCACACACTAAACACTCAGATGCAGTTTCAGAAATATTTTAATTAAAGTTATCAACGACTTGAAAATAATTGCACTCAAACATTTCCTTACTCTCTTACCAGCTGTGAAAATTTCTGAGTAATAATGCATTCTGGGAGTGAGATGGGAGAAGGAAGACAGCTCATAGACACTTTTTATCATAATGCTGAAGGCTATGTCTGTAGCTGGTATGCTATATAAAAAAAGACAAAGTATCAGGAGGTCTGTTTACCTTTTTTTAAACCTAATGTGACTACTGAGATAACTGACAAATCTCCTATGAAAAAGCAACCAACCTTTTATTTAAAATATAGAAAGATATTTTACATATAAATAGATTTTTAAAACCTTGTTTAACTATAATAATCAATATTTACATTGATATCATATGATTAAGTTAGCAGTTTCTCTTGGAGTATAGCTACTATTACTAAGATACAGTTACAATATCTTTTATATCTGAATTTCTTTTCGTAACAGTTTTTCTTAAATTTCCTTAAATTGAGAGTCCCATCTCCTCTCCTACTATAAAGGATCAGTTCTGGCAGACCTATTTAAAATATCAATAAAAAAATTTGCTATTTGTGCTAGATAGACACAGTTACTTGTATTATTAGTAATAAAGGTATAATATGTATTCCAGTTCACCTTCTGTGGTATTTGCTATTTGCTTTTTTTAATTTAAAGAAAACAACAAACCAAAAAAACCCCAAATAAACAAAAACAACCCCCCCCAAACCAACAAAACAAAAAAACCCCCCACAAAACAAAACAAAAAAAAACCAACCCAACCCAAACAAAAAACAAAACCAAACCAACCAAACAAACAAAAAACAAAACAAAAAACCAGAAAAACTGCTTACTTGGTCCTATACAATAGAAAATACCAAGCTTGTAAACAGACCTGAACATTTCAGGATTTTGTGTCATGATGTAATTGTGTAGAGGTTTTTGTGTGTGTGAATTATTCTACAGAAAAGTGAAACCCATTTGTATGGTTTTCAAGGTTATGCAACTTGCTGAACTGACATTTGAAAAATACATGTGACTCAAACTGTCTCTGAGTTTGGGGAAAACTTCTGGATTCTCACAGTTCACAAAAGAAGAAACCCATGGAGACCTTTTGAGTTGACTAGGTGGTGCAACCAATTTCAACCACTTCCCATCTCCAAACAAGCCACCAGTTGTCTCTCCTCTGTTGCTATTGTAACAATTGGACACTAAATCTAATGTACAGAAAATATTGAGCTTAAAGGTTGTTCTAGACAGAGCAGCAGAGAAATTAATCCCTCTTTTGCATTATACACTTGGGAAGATACTGAATGAAGGCAGGAACCAAAATATAGCCCTAAGGCCGGTGTAAGGCTAATGTCCTGCGTAAGGGTGTCAGCTCTCCTGAGGATTAAGGCAAAAGAAGCAAAGGTTTGCACCATACTGGGGAATTACCTCTTCTTCAAAGGGAAAATCTTACCTTTCTCACTTTATTAGCCATCATAATACTTCTGTATTTCACATACAGAGATTGTAGCATCCAACAGATGCTGCTAACTGTTGTAAGACAGTCCTCTTAACTGTCTTACTTAACAAGGAGGAGTAGAAAAATTAAAAAAAAAAAGCACGACTATAAATGGTCATTCCTTCATTCAACTTGATACATTTACTCACTCTATTATTTTTACCAGAACAAGGGAAAACAAACAAAGATTTGGAAAAAAAAAAATAAAAAGAGGAAGGATAGTGAGGTAAAGTGTTTCCTGAACTTTATCAGACTTCTTTTTTCTCAAAATTTCTATGTCTTTTTCACACAGAATCTACACAGCAACACAGTGATAGTGCTGACAAGTCCACTCAGTTCAGGTTTACTTCCCTTTTCCCTTTAATATAATAAAAATGGTAACAAGAATAACAAAGGTGTTCCAGGCCATTAGTTTCACAAGAAATTCAACATATATCTGTGACTGGTTTGTACAAAATAAAGTTAACAATACAATTTTAAATTATAGTCATAGTTTTCTCCATACTTTGAAAAGATTTGTACTATAGCTTCAGTGGTTCAAGAAGGCCTCTTCTTTTTTTTTTATTTTATTTTATTTTATTTTATTTTATTTTATTTTATTTTATTTTATTTTATTTT